GGAATTTTAACCCAAAAACGTAGGGCACCATCTGGAAGACCCGGGCCTGAATAATTTCTGGTGAAACCTACTACTTTAACATAGAGTTTATGTAAGCATTTGGGAGTGTTGCTGGAGGCGGACCCAACAGTTAGTTGTCTTCAATCCCAAAAAGTTTTGCCTACACAGTACGCACATTCAGTCTAATACAGAGGCAGCAGCAAGGCAGTGAATGTAAGGCTGATGTAATCATAATCATGTGTGATCCCAGAAAGGTATCCCCGTATTGGATAAACCTTACTGTTCTTGTGTACGAATGGTATATAATACCGACAAAAATGAGATTAAGACACATGTGCAACATCTGGGTATCTTTATTGTAGACGTTTCGCCATCCAGTGGCTTTTTTCAATACAAATTCTAGGACATAACTTGAAGACAGTAGAAATATGTACAGAAGATGAGGTAATCAGTCCCTCAACCTAGGAGTAGGTGCGAACAGCACCATAGTCGTGGAGATTCTGAAGCAGAAAAAAGGAGCCTGGCGGCTTATATAGTAACGTCAGGTGTAGCAGACGAGGGCATATTCATGGTAGACGGGATTTTCCCATTTGGGAAATAGGTCCTTCCCAAAGAGATGGGTTAGTTGTAGTAGTAGTTGTAGTAGTAGTTGTCGTGTAGTGAAGGTTTTGTACATGTCCTCAGATTTAAGATTCCATGATGTTGCAGTGTCTGACAAGTTGGTACGAATGGTATATAATACCGACAAGATGAGATTAATACACATGTGCAACATCTGGGTATCTTTATTGTAGACGTTTCGCCATCCAGTGGCTTTATCAATTACAAATTCTAGGACATAACTATGAAGACAGTAGAAATATGTACAGAAGATGAGGTAAACATTCCCTCAACCTAGGAGTAGGTGCGAACAGCACCATAGCGTGGAGATTCTGAAGCAGAAGAAAGGAGCCTGGCGCTTATATAGTAAACGTCAGGTGTAGCAGACGAGGGCAATTCACTGTTAGACGGGATTTCCAGTGGAAGTAGGTCCTTCCCAAAAAGATGGGTTAGTTGTAGTAGTATTTGTAGTAGTTTGTTGTCGTTTGTAGTGGGAAAGGGTTTTGTACATGTCCTCGAATTAAGATTCCATGATGTTGCAGTGTCTGACAAGTTGTGTACGAATGGTATATAATACCGAAAATGAGATTAAGACACATGTGCAACATCTGGGTATCTTTATTGTAGACGTTTCGCCATCCAGTGGCTTTATCAATACAATTCTAGGACATAACTTTAAGACAGTAGAAATATGTACAGAAGATGAGGTAATCAGTCCCTCAACCTAGGAGTAGGTGCGAAACAGCACCATAGTCGTGGAGATTCTGAAGCAGAAGAAAGGACCTGGCGCTTATATAGTAACGTCAGGTGTAGCAGACGAGGGCATATTCACTGGTAGACGGGGTTTCCCAGTGGAAGTAGGTCCTTCCCAAAGAGATGGGTTAGTTGTAGTAGTAGTTGTAGTAGTATTTGTCGTAGTAGTGAAGGTTATGTACATGTCCTCGAATTAAAATTCCATGATGTTGCAGTGTCTGACATGTTGTGTACGAATGGTACATAATACCGACAAGATGAGATTAAGACACATGTGCAACATCTGGGTACTTTTTTTGTAGACGTTTCGCCATCCAGTGGCTTTATCAATACAAATTCTAGGACATAACTTGAAGACAGTAGAAATATGTACAGAAGATGAGGTAATCAGTCCCTCAACCTAGGAGTAGGTGCGAACAGCACCATAGTCGTGGAGATTCTGAAGCAGAAGAAAGGAGCCTGGCGGGTTATATAGTAACGTCAGGTGTAGCAGACGAGGCATATTCACTGGTAGACGGGATTTCCAGTGAAGAGGTCCCTTCCCAAAGAGATGGGTTAGTTGTAGTAGTAGTTGTAGTAGTAGTTGTCGTAGTATTGAAGGTTATGTACATGTCCTCAGAATTAAGATTCCATGATGTTGCAGTGTCCTAGAATTTGTATTGATAAAGCCACTGGATGGCGAAACGTCTACAATAAAGATACCCAGATGTTGCACATGTGTCTTAATCTCATCTTGTCGGTATTATATACCATTCGTACACAACTTGTCAGACACTGCAACATCATGGAATCTTAATTCTGAGGACATGTACATAACCTTCACTACTACGACAACTACTACTACAACTAACCCATCTCTTTGGGAAGGACCTACTCCCACTGGGAAATCCCGTCTACCAGTGAATATGCCCTCGTCTGCTACACCTGACGTTACTATATAAGCGCCAGGCTCCTTTCTTCTGCTTCAGAATCTCCACGACTATGGTGCTGTTCGCACCTACTCCTAGGTTGAGGGACTGATTACCTCATCTTCTGTACATATTTCTACTGTCTTCAAGTTATGTCCTAGAATTTGTATTGATAAAGCCACTGGATGGCGAAACGTCTACATTAAAGATACCCAGATGTTGCACATGTGTCTTAATCTCATCTTGTCGGTATTATATACCATTCGTACACAACTTGTCAGACACTGCAACATCATGGAATCTTAATTCTGAGGACATGTACATAACCTTCACTACTACGACAACTACTCTACAACTACTACTAAAAACTAACCCATCTCTTTGGGAAAGGACCTACTTCCACTGGGAAATCCCGTCTACCAGTGAATATTTCCCTCGTCTGCTACACCCGACGTTACTATATAAGCGCCAGGCTCCTTTCTTCTGCTTCAGAATCTCCACGACTATGGTGCTGTTCGCACCTACTTCTAGGTTGAGGGACTGATTACCCCATCTTCTGTACATATTTCTACTGTCTTCAAGTTATGTCCTAGAATTTGTATTGATAAAGCCACTGGATGGCGAAACGTCTACAATAAAGATACCCCGATGTTGCACATGGTCTTAATCTCATCTTGTCGGGGATTATATACCATTCGTACACAACTTGTCAGACACTGCAACATCATGGAATCTTAAATTCTGAGGACATGTACATAACCTTCACTACTACGACAAATACTACTACAACTACTACTACAACTAACCCATCTCTTTGGGAAGGACCTACTTCCACTGGGGAAAACCCGTCTACAGTGAATATGCCCTCGTCTGCTACACCTGACTTTACTATATAAGCGCCAGGCTCCTTTCTTCTGCTTCAGAATCTCCACGACTATGGTGCTGTTCGCCACCTACTCCTAGGTTGAGGGGACTGATTACCTCATCTTCTGTACATATTTCTACTGTCTCAAGTTATGTCCTAGAATTTGTATTGATAAAGCCACTGGATGGCGAAAACGTCTACAATAAAGATACCCAGATGTTGCACATGTGTCTTAATCTTACTGTTCTTCTCTGTTGCTGTACTTTTCTTCTGTGTTACTGTACTAACTTCTGTGTTACTGTATTGTACTGTTTTTTTGTTAATGTACATTAACTGTTTTTTATGTATTGGCAGCATTGTAATGTTCTTTTGTATTACCGTACTGTACTGTTCTTTTTTTATTACAGTACTGTACTGTTCTTCTATATCACCGTACTGTATTGTTCTTCTGTATTACTGTACTGTACTCTACCGTTCTTCTGTTTTAATTTACTGATCTGTATTACTGTAATGGTCTTCTCTGTCACTGCCCTGGTCTTCTCTGTTACTGTACTGGTCTTCTCTGTTACTGTACTGGTCTTCTCTGTT